TAAAAACTCTTATCAAAATGCCAACTCTAAAAAATACAGCTACTCTGCAGAAAATAACAATAAAAGGAAGTTAGCTTGATAGAGCCATCCAGCAGAAAAATCAAACAGATTACATGCGAAAGTTCAGACCTCAATAATGTTTAAGCATTCTTTTTAGCATGTAAACCTTTACAATTTTATCTTGTTTTAAATTCATTTTAACTATGTGTGCCTTTTGATACTTCATTATGTTTTATATTTTGTGTTTACACTTCTATTTTTATCTTCTATATATTTTTATTTTTCAGCACAACTTTTAACTTAACCACTAGTAAAGTATAAAAGATTTTCATTTCAGTTTTTCTACAGGTAACCAACTTACATTTATATGCTATAGAATACATACAAAGAAAAATCACACAGCCACAAATTCTATAATCACCACCAAAAAGATCAATAAAGTAATATATATAATTAAATTATTAACAGAGATTAACCCTTGGAAAATGATGAATATAAACTTATTATAAGTTGCAAACTTATTAAAGATAATCCTCTTGAAAAATGAAGAGATTAAACTATTGTAGATATAAAACTTTGTAATCAGTATCATTTAATCTAGTAGAATAACTAAATTAAACAATAAAAAAATAAAAGCATATTTAATTATTGCTGATGTCATGGAAAAGGGCTGGCTTTTCAAGGGAAATTAATTAGCCCTTCTCGATAAAATCACCAACAATAATCATAGAGATTTGATCTTGTTTCATCCCTCTCATATATCAGAATGAAATTCAATCCAATATACTTCAAAGAAATATTTCAATTTAGTTAATTCAATTTATTTTCATTAATATAAAAAAAAATTCCCAGTACTTTTCCGTTTTACCGGCGCAAACAATAAAGGTCGCCAATAATGGTACAACTGATGCTAAACAGAATATCTTCGCTGGTAACCTTTTACGCCTCATTTTCAAAACAAGTCGCAGCCATTTCTTATCAGATTGATTGTCTTTCAATACTGGCATACAATTACACAGAATTTTTACAAGATACTTAAATTTTATGCCTTAAGACCATTCACGGGAATTAAGTCAATTAGGATGCAATCAAACCACTGACCCGAAGGCAAAAAATATAGAAAAGGCAAAATCAAGGGCTAAATTTATCAATACTAATGAGAATACACTAGCAAAGTAAAGCACTGCGGTTTTACATAATTTCTGAGTAAGTTATTCGTACAAATTGAAATAGTTCTTGCATTTAAACTTGTATTCCAAATTAAGATTTAACTTGAAATTAATGTAGATAATTAATGAGAAAATTAGATTTTTCTAGCACAGTTTATGTGAGATGAGATCACTTGGGGTCCCGTGATACGAACCGGCAAATCAAGATGTTGAACCATGAAAGCATAGTAAATTCTTAATGTGTTTTTACAAATTTGTCTTTATTTATTGGCTTTTTTCAAAATTTTAAACCATATTAAAACGTTTATGTCTTCAAAAATAAAAAATTCTTAAGCCTAACATTTGTTAACATTTTTTATGTGTATACTGTATGTTGTCGGCAACAAAGTCTGCTTGGCGAGATTTGTGCCGGCGAGACGGAAAAGTACCAAATTCTCCAACATGATTGGATTTCTTCAAGAAAAAATGAAAAAACCTGAATGCCGAGCAAGATATTGAAAACACTGAGTGCTGGTCTGACAACTCAAACCAAAAATTAGACATAAATTAATCTTCTAAAAAACAACATACTTAAACCTAAATACACATGTTTACAATACATTCAAAAGTCATTAATCCGGACTCGTCGGGACTTCGGCGATTCCGGATTATAGATCATCAGTTTAAATCTGGTAAAATGGCATGCAGAAATTATAAAATTAAAAATATGAAACCGTAATTTACGAATAAAGAACAATTATGATCTAAAGGGTATCAAATTTACAAAAAAAAAGCTTAATATTTATTTGTTTACTTTATTAAATATTTCTTTCAATGTATCGTATATACCCACGTATAAGTCAAGATATTTTAGACAAAAAAAAAAAAAAAAAAGACTTCAGAGTGGGGGGGTCGACTTATACGCGGGCCCATAAAAAAGTAAAAGAATCGGAAGTTCAAAAATTTCTTTATATAATGCAGTTGTTTTCTTCCCGTACTCAAATTGGACGACTTATCAAATAAGTCACTTACTTGAAGTAATTTCATGACTTAAATTATGTGATGAACTAATCACAGAGTTTCATACTTTAACTAGAGTAAATTTCGATTAAGCCAAAGATTTTGGATATGTTGGCGACGCTTTTGCCTGCTGGATTAAAAATGTGTGGGATAAAAGACCAGGAGCAGCTTTCAAAAAACCTTCTCTTTTAGTATACGATTCTTTTCGTGGACACTTTTCTGAAGAAGTGACAAAACACCTAAAAACGACTGTGGCCGTAATTCCGGGAGGATTGACATCCTTCATTCAACCCCTAGATGTCTGCCTCAATAAGCCCTTCAAAGTAAATGTTTGAAAATATTGGGCAGAGTGGATTAGTTCCGGTCGACCAACATTTACAAATGGAGGCAACATTAAAAATCCCGATATTACATTAATTGCTCAATTAATTGCTTGGAACGACCTCTGAAATGATTATAAAATCATTTTTAAAATGTTGTATTAGCAACGAACTAGACAGCATGGAAGATGATACTGTTTTTGAAAGTGAAAATGACGACGAAGACTCTAGTAGTGATTGTAACAATACAGAGTTCGAGACTGAAAATATGTATAATGACGAGCCAATGACGACAGAAGAGTTCTATGAAATGTTTGGCGAATCTGACCATGAATCGGGCATTGAAGGATTTTGATTTTGTTTATTTACCAAGGTATTTTTTATCGCATATTTACTTTTTTTCTCTCAGATAATTTTGAATAAATGTAGTACTTAAAAAAGTTTCTCGATCGATTTTGGAAGAGGGGGGGGGTCGACTTATACGCGGGTTTTTTATTTTCTATTAATTTTTTATTTCGAAGTGAGGGGTCGACTTATACGTGGGTATATACGGTAAGTTGTTTAAGTTGCTTCGTTTTTTATGTGATAATACATTCTCTTTAATTCCATAAACAGACATAATTTCTTGTTCAGTTACAAAGTTCCGCTGTTCAAGTCCTATAATTGCTGTGTCGAGAATACCGACTAATTTGTCAATCGAAATTTTTTCGTTTTCAATAACCTCTGTCACTTGATTCGCTATCGGAAGCTTATTATAATGATGAGGCATTTGATTTAAATCATATCAAAGACGGAGTACATCGAGAGGAAATACAGTCAAAAGTCATTAATTCGGACACCCATAATTCGGAATGATCTATAATCCGGGCCTCAAAACTAAAAACTTTCTGCGCATGCGTCGCATTGACACATGCGCATAGACGTTTACGCGTGCGCGTAAGACCTTTTACGACTGCGCATATGAGTGTGCGCAAGTGCAGAATACGTTTTCCGCGTGCGCGTTTTATGTATAATGGACTATAAGCTAAAATTATCTAATTATCTATTTCAGTTAATGTTGATGATTGCGTTGTTCCTTAATTTTCGAATTGGATCCGGCTTATTATTTTTTGCAGACTGTAAGAACAATTTTATAAAAGTAAGCTTAAACTTTCGATTATATCAAATAGAATTTCTGATATATATTTGTTAATATGTAAAGGATCTAAAGCGAAAGTATGTTTTGAAATTGAAATCCAAAATCTGTTTATCAATTTCACGCTGCTCGGGGGGGGAAGCCGCAGTGGGCGCGTAATGAATTGGAAGTTGATCTGTCAGCACTATCCTTATCTTCAGCGCAGATGTTTTTATTTTATTTGGCTTATAATTCCTTACCAAATGTAGTATTTCATCTCGATATGCGCGATGCTCGGTCTTTGATATGATTTAAAACAAGTTCCTCGTCATTATCATTCGCTTCCGAAAGCGAAAAAAGTAACAGAGGTTATTGAAAACGAAAAAATTTCGATTGACAAATTAGTCAGTGTTTGTTCTCGACACAGCAATTATAGGACTTGAACAGCGGAACTTGTAACTGAACAAGAAATTATGCCTGTTTAATAGAATTAGAGAAAGTATTATCACATGAAACGAAGCAAAACTTAAACAACTTACATTGAAAGAAATGTTTTAATAAAGTAAACAAATAAATATTAAGCTTTTTCTTTTTGCAGATTTGATACCCTTTAGATCATAATTGTTTCTTTATTTCATAAATACGGTTTCATATTTTTAATTTTAGAATTTCTGCATGCCATCTTACGAGATTTAAACTGATGATCTATAATCCGGAAAAATCGATAATCCGGAATTGCCGAAGTCCCGACGAGTCCGGATTAACGACTTTTGACTGTACCACATTTAGTAAGCAATTATAAGCCAAATAAAATAAAAACATCTGCCCTTAAGGATAAGGATAGTGTTGACAGATCAACTTCCAATTCACTGCGCTCCGCGGCGTTAAAGATAAACAAACGTTAATGTTTAGATAAACAAAGGATATGCCTTTATCCATTTTTTGCAGCAATTCCACTTTTTGTTTAATGGACTCTGAAAGATACTTTCGCTTTGTATATCCTTTACACATTAGTAGATATATATCGGAAATTCTATTTGAAATAATCGAAAGTTCAAGCTTACTTTTATAAAATTGCTCTAACAGTCTGCAAAAAATAATAAGCCGGATCCAATTCGAAGATTAAGGAACAACGCAATCTGCAACATTAACTGAAATAGATAATTAGATAATTTTAGCTTAGCTTATCCCGTCTGTTATACATTAAACGCGCATTCGTAAATGTATTTTGCGCACGCGCACACGCAAATTCGCAGCCATAAAGGTCTTATGCGCACGCGTCAATACGACGCATGAGCAGAAAGTTTCTAGCTTTGAGGTCCGGATTATGGGTGTCCGAATTAACGACTTTTGACTGTATATATATATATACATGCATTTTATATTATTGAAACATACCGAATGTAATGCTGGAAGAGATGTATCATAAGATACATTAGGCTCAGTGCGTCTTGGATGGTCACCAGACTGATTTTGTGAGTCTTCTTGTGTTGAAGCTGAATAAAAAGAAATGTTGATTTTAACAATTTTAGTTTCATATATTAAAATTAGTTCTATTTTGTATTTCAAACTATAACTAAAGCACATACTTTTCAGTTCTGCAACAAAGAAGTGAATTTAGGCAAAGTTAAATCAAATATAATGAACCTTCTCTAGCACAAACTTACACACTTTGGTTTTCTGTGAAAGTGATCATCTTACAGAGATAAGGTTCAGTACTGAGATTTGTATTACATTCTCAGATTATTTCCTTAAAAAGGTTCATTGCATAATACAAAAGATCGTTAGAATGGGAAGAAGGGAATTATAAAATATACAAACAAACAACCTAATATTATTGCATGTGACAGGAAATTTTTTAATTTCATAAAATTTGCACATGTATCATCACAATAATTATGTTGCATAAAAGAAAAGAAGCCAAAAGGAGTTAGAAGAATATGCAGGTATCAGCTTTTTCTGTGGGCAGTTCAGACATTGACTGAAATTATATATATTTTCTTGTTCATTCCTAGAGAATAAAATTTAAGAAGTTTTTGTGAAAAATACTGATTTTGTATCATTTTACAAATGAATTTTAATATCATTCTGCAGTACTTATGTAAAAGTGCAACCAGCGACTTAATAAAAGTTGCTAGATTTACAGAGTTTGTCTAATTGTGGCAAACGTGTAAATATTTCCTCAGTTCAATAAGCAATACTGCCACTTTTTAAGTGTCCTTTTTATTATATTCTAAATTCTAATGGCTTTTACAGATAAATCATGATATTTCTTGTTTTAAAACTAAATTTTAAAACACATTTACAAAATTTTGCTACAGTAAAAAACACATTTGCAAAATTGTGCTGCAGTAAAATCTGTGCTAGAATATAGTATTTTGCCACAAAATTACAATTAAGAACAAAGCTTCGAATCCAGTCTTAAGACGATTGCCACAAGATTTCCATCAGAATAAAAGATATAAAACCCAACTGTAAACAGATTTATTGATGAATTTTCAAGATAAATACCTAATTAAAATATAAAATAGATATACATATCATAAATTTTTTACAAGTATATATTGGCTTTTTTTTTTTTTTTTTTTTTTTTTTTTTTTTTTTTTTTTTTTTTTTTTTGTTGTTGTTAAAAAGTTGCTAACTGAATCATGATGTTTGTACTAATCCATAAGTATCCTCTCTGCCAATACATATTCACTGTTCTTACCCCAGATTTCCAATACATATAAATTAACATTTCTTATTCAGTATGAGAATATTTGTAGTTAACTACAAAAGTTAGTAGTTGACAATACTATATTCATAGCTGGTGTCCAGAGCAGAATGTTAAAAGAATTATCTCATAATGTTGGGATTATGCTTATATTATTTAGAAATTTATTTTTTTAGTTTTCAGTTTTACCTCAAATGATTTTTTTTTTTTGGGGGGGGGGCTTTGCTTTGCTGTTGGAGATGCTGTTGGAGAAGGAGGAAAAACAGATTACAATATTTGTTCATTCAAAGATGATACAAAGATGTTACAATGAACACTCTCTAAGATGACCACTCACAGTTACAGAAAATTTTGGTCTTATGTGAAAGCAGTTTTCTTACAGAAGTAATGTTCAATACAAATGCCGAATTACATCCTCAGAAATACTTGTCACTTGTTTGGCACTATTCTTGAAAGTAGTAGTCAGCATGATAAGGTTCACTATATTATCAAATGAAATTTCAGTTACAATACAAAACACATTTGATAATATACCTATGAATAAATACTACTTGTAAAGATTAAAATCATATAATCAGATAAACAGCACATAACAATTTACACAATAATGAATACTTCAAAAAGCACATTTGTATTCATATTTTCAAAGTATAGTATTTTCCCGTTATCTGCCCTGTGCTCCTGGAAAGCAGAGAACCATTATAGACCACTTTTTTGTCAACTTAACATGTAAAAAAACAGAGGAGTGCTAAAAATTATATAACTGCAACAAATGAAAAAAATTCAAAAAAAAATAATAATAATTAAAATAAATCTGATAGCCTTCAGATTTTATATTATGCCCAAAGGGACATTTTTTTTAAACGTTTTGTGTGTTACCTTTGTTTATTAAATGTCATGTTCTTCGCACTTAAACCATAAAATTCAGTTCAAGAGCAATATTGCAAATAATTTTAAATTGAGCATATCTTTAGAATTTCCAACACACAGTCTTGTGCGCAGTACCATTGTTTTATCACAATGTGAGAAACATACATACATTTATGCAGATTCTTCATTATTTAATTTCTTTAAATATAACACAGGACAATAATATTTGGTGGCAACAATTTGAAAAGTGAAACAGAGATTTAAAATTTTCAACACAAAATTCCAAAATGAAATTAATAGGCTAACGCCCTTTGGGCTAAAAATGCAAGAAACATCCATAATGAAAAAGCTAACATTGAATAAAACAAACATCCATAATGTTTACAATCAAAGTTTCATAACACAATAACAAATTAACTAAATTAAAAGTGCAACAAACAATCATAATAAAACACTTTCTATTTTCTTGGTCTGTGCACATAGTAACTTTGTTTTAACTTGAAAAAAAAAAAAAAAAAAATTAGAGAATTAAGAAATTCTCGGCATTGCAGTGCAAACTGGCACTTCTTTCTAAATACACAATGACCTATTTTAACTTGAAAAAATATCAGAGAATTCCAGAATTTTGGGCATTGTACAGCAAAGTGGCGCTGCTCTCTACATCAACTTGTTTTAACTTAAAAAAAAAACACCAGAGAACTACTACCAGAAAAATCATTTTTTTCATATTCTTTTGTCCATACTAGACATGCATACTTCTCAAAGATAACTGCACCAATCAATAGTTGTATTAGGAGACATATCGAGAGAATAAGAACTATAAGAATGACAAAACTTACCAGATGTATACTCTTTAAACCAGCAATAAATAAAGCGAACAGCTATCGTAAACAATATTCAGCTTTCTCACACCAATTTCATATTAATATTCAAAACCCCTTTGTTAGCAATTTTTAACTATGTATTTTCACACAATTTGATCGTTCGCTTCCTGAGAATTCCTAAACCACACTCATTACGTGCTGGCACAATGTGTGCACAACCATTAACAGGTTGCATGTTTTTTATATTCTGGGTTGCCAGCTTTCGCGACTTAGCACTTTGCCCACTGCACTCACTTGCGGATAAGGTAAAAGTACCCAAAATAAATTAATATTTCTCAAGAAAGCCACCCAAAGTTTCAGATGATTTTCACTACTTCTATGGAAATGGTCATTTTAGAAAGGTGATGTTCAATATTATAGTTTATTTATGTTCCCAGAACTTTCCCATTGATTTTTAGAGCAGGTTGGCTATTAGAAAGATTGTTCCTATATTAATTATAGATGTCATAATAATTGAATGAATAAAATGCAACAGGTAGAATATGCAAATGATATTTGGAAGAAAAGCCAGAATATGGAGGAATAAAGTTTTAAATGTTAAATCTGCCTTTAAAAATAATTTATTTATATAATTTCAAGGGAAAAAAATTTATTGAAAGGCTGGGAAAAATCCCCAGAGTGATTGATATAACCAAATAATTTTAGAATAAATAATATATTACTGCTTTTTGATAATACGATAAACCAACAGAATAAAGTTAAGAGGTTGTCCTAGCACTGTTATGAAATGTGAACATCGATTTTTAGTTGGAACAGCAGACTCAGTGGTGTAACTAGAGCTCCTGTGCAAAGTCTCCTATGCAAAAATATTTCTTAAGACCCCCCCTATAAATTTAAAGAATTTTTTTTTAAATTAATTAAGGGAGATCTGAAAGTTTCATATTTTATATTACGCTAAAGGGACTTTTTCAATGTTTCATGTGTTACCTTTATTTATCAAATATCATGTTCTTCACACTTAAACCAGAAAATTCAATTCAACAGCAATATCGCAAAATAATTTAAAAACAGCATATCTTTAGGATTTCCGATACACAGTCTCGTGCACTGGAGATAAAAATGTTTTTTTTCTGTACAGTGTTGCCATTGCTTGCTTTGAAACCGTTGAATTTTTTAATAAAAAACTCACAAATGCTTTACAAAATATGAAATAGATAATAAAAAAAATTCCAAATTTGGGCTTCCAGATGCCCATGTTCGGGTGGAGACGTACATTATTTGAAATTTGATGGCTCTAGGTACCATTGTTTTATCACAGTGTGAGAAACATACATATATTTATGCAGATTCTTCATTATTTAATTTCTTTAAATATAATACAGAGCGATAATATTTAGTAGCAACAATCTGAAAAATGATTCAGACTTTTAAAGTTTTTGACACAAAATGCCAAAACGAAATTAATAACCCTTCTGGGCTAATGCCCTATGGGCAAAAAGGGAGAAAGGAAAAGAAATTTGAAAGGTTTTAGATTTTAATTGCTGCCCAAAAAGGTTTGCTAAGGTTCTTTTTATCCTCTTGCTGAGCTTACATTCTAACCAGCCTGCTCTTGCTCCAGCTAACTTCCACTCTTTTTTTTTTTTTTTTTTTTTTTTTTTTCCTTTTTAGCTTTGAACATATATCATTTTCTTCACACTTACACTACATACAATTCAATACCAAAAATCACAAAGCTTTTGAAAGTTGCATATGTTTGGAATTCCTGATACAGTATTAAGTGTTGGCATACATTTATATAATTTTATCAGTCTTTTCTCAGTTTATCATATCAATATTCAGTTTTCTTGGTAACATGTTTAAGAAATTTTTTCTCTATAATTTCATTACTAATTTTTCATCTGTTAAGATTATTAAATATTGCCATGTAAAATTCAATTCAACAGCAAATCACAAAATATTTAAAAACAGCATATTATTTGAATTCCCGTTAGAGTTTGCCATACACATTTTTATATTCCCTATAGTATTCTTTTACAAACTTGCTGCTCTGCCTAAAATAGCTACCACAAAAAAGAAAAAATATATCAAG